ATTAGAATCAGTAACCTAGACAAGTGCCGGTGAGGCGATTGAGTCGGTATCCTTGATGGCACGTGCAGTAATAACCACCAGGGTGGTTGACACAACGTTGATTGGCCTGACAACGTGAAGGAGAATCTTCGCATTCATTGATGTCTAAAATGGAAGGAAAATTGAATTAACCTTGTGACCAGATGATAAAGGCATTTTCTTTGTGCTCTGTCTGCTTTGTCATAAATTAAAGATAGAAATTCATAACATCCAAAAGACAGTTCTTAAACGTAACATACTTGCGGACGTGGATTTGACACTTATGGACCAACGAACGACGTTCGTTTAAAGTCGAAAATAAATCTTATTCGTTCGTTGTGCTTTTAGTTCAGCCTAATGCAGATCACGTGATCTTTTCAGAAGATTAAATCCTTTTTGTTTTCATATATTTTTTCAAAAATGTTTAAACGCTCTCCCTCTAAAAGCCTAATCTTTTAGAGACAGTCAATAAATATTTATTTACTCTGAATCATTGCCGCGATATCTACAATGAAATAGCCCAAAATGGGGTCGTGATTACATCGTTTTCAAGGTCATTATATGTACCAACCTTTACACTGAAAGTTGTTTGCATTTATGACATGGCATTTGTAGCCACTTGGACAGTTTACTCCAGTACAAGCGTTAGAACCTGCGAAATAACAAATAACATTCTTTTCTATTTTCAAGACTGGTATAGTTTTGGCACAGAGAGCACGGCCAGGTGACATAATTTGTGACGCGTCAAATCTAAGACCGAAAAACAAAGACAACTGAGTAGCATTTACTTTGTAGACAAACTCTCATCTCCAAAACTACGAGAAACTTAGGGAAAGGAGTCTGAGAAACACTTGGGTTGATTTAAGAGTAAAAAGGTTTTGACGCGTCAGCACAAGTTTTACATACTTAATTCCACTTCTCGCGCAAATGCGTTAGTCAGATTCAAGAGTTCTTGAACTCCACCGTGAAAATCCCGGGTCAGTTTTATGGCACACAAAACAAACTGCTTATTCCTCTCAAAAGGCTTTCCATACTAAGTAATAGGAGAATGAAATAATAAAAAAAAGAAACAGTAGCGAGCGCGTAGAGGACGATGAGAAGAGAGAAATCTTGTTTTCTCTCACCTGCCCATCGTCTCCAGCGCGCATCAGTGTTGCTTCTTTCCAGTCCCCTAGGGGCACAAAGAAGCCTTGGCGGAGGAAAGAGACTAGACCGCCTTAAGGATCGCCGATCGAACTAAAAGACAGATGAATACGAACGGGACTTGAAAAGTTTATTTTAAGTACTTGTAAACCTGTCCCCCTTCAATACTATTGAACTTACGCAAAAGGGCGCCGGAGCAAACAAGACAGTAAGCCTCGTAAACGTGATAATTCCGCCAAATTTCGCCTTCCTTTAAACAAATCTTTTTGGAAATGACCAAAACTAGTATCGTAAACTGAATATCAAGGAAAAAGCTCGCCAGTAATAGCCCAGTCATGTTTGTCACACGCAAACGTTTTGCCGTCAAATCAGTTTCTTCTGCCGTCCGGTTACCTGAGCTCAAACCAGGGTGAAACGTGTAAAAGTAGACACGTAGATCTACAAACAAACTTACGCTCGCATTTCTTGGTTTGTTGGTTCCTTGTGAACTGATCGCGACATCTACAGTTGTAACCACCATATAGGTTCTCGCAGATCTCATGGTCGCCCGTGCAGTTGTTCAGAGAGAGTCTGCATTCGTCTATATCTAAAGAAAATGCAACGCTACGCGATTAGAAAGATATAGCCTTTTTTTAGTAACTTTGTCAAGCAAAGTTTCGAAGGGGGAAGAAGTGGGGGGCGATGTAACCACTTTCCACTCACGTGGCCGGCAGCAATGCAAATTTATTGGAACAAAAGGAAGTTTTTACATGAGAAAAAGGACTGGTTTGGAACACCAACATGGTCGCCTTTTCATTATTCAGGGACACCAGCATGGCGGACAATAAAAAAGTGATAAAAAGATGAATAAATAGACTAATAAGTTAATGTATTTCAAGCTGGCGGCTCCAAGATGGCCGCGATTTGATGATTATAAAGAAATATTCACCTTAGGAGACTTGACTGATTATATGTTATTAACCTCAGGTAAGGAATTTTCGACGTCCTTGACCTGCTACACATTCTTCGTTTCAAGTATAAGTGGTGCAGTTTACATATTTTTTCACAATGCCAACGGGGTAAGGTGGAACCAAACCACCGAGTTCTCAAAGACCAAGAACGGCACAAGCCTCAGACCTAGTTTACACGGGTCTGGACAAATTTTTGAACGGAAAAAAACTTGCATGGTATACACAGGACCCGCGGGAACCATGCAAGTCTTTGAACGGCAAACAGTGCTGCAATCTGCAACAGGATTTCCACGGTTCCGTATAAACGAGGTTTCAGTGAACCGACTGGTTGTTTGTTTTTTTTTTTCCAGAGCACATAGCCTTTTTTTCTTCTTACCTAAACAACTGTATGATCTCCCTAACGGTGCACACTTGAGTCCTGCTCCACAGTCCACATCTTTGCAAGGGTCTGGAGGATTTGCAGAAGACATGATATGATATAGCACATTTTACCTAACTTGGAAATATATTCAGCCATACGGCTAGTGTACAATTTTTCTCATGACTAGTACCGTTAAGTTAAAAAGTAAGATCAAACTAAATTTAAATATTTTAAGATTCATAGGATCAAACCCCGTTAATAAGGACACTGAAGGGGTTATAGAAAATGTTTTTATTTCTTTCCTCCGGGACAAAGCAAACTGCATGTCCGTAACAATGAGGTGTCCATATTAAGCGGGTGTCCGTAAGACGGGGTTTGACTGTATTTCTGACTACTGTGATGATTAACTATGACGTAATGTAGTCAAATTTAAAGTTTTCAACATAGACAACAGGACAATACAGTTTGCTTAAGTTATTAGTCGCAAGTGAAGTTCGACGTTTAACCTGGGCGTAAGAGGGCGCTCCCTTACGTTCTCTATTCTCACTGCATAATTAATTAGCTCATCCCAGCAATTTTGTATAATCTGTGCGCATTCCCTCGAAATCCCGCATGCGTGTAACGGGTTAGAATGCTTTACGCCCCTTGACTACAAATTTGGCCCTGCTGCCTAAAACGTGGCCATGTTAATGATCGGTACTCTTGGACCACGGTCAATTTTCGCGAACCGCCCACCTCCACTGGGGGCGGTTGACAACTTCAGCGTTATCCTCGTTGTATGCCTATTGCCTCAGCAGTCTTGGACTTTACTCACAACTTAATATTACGCGATGAGGTAACTAGTATGCGGTGAGGATATTACTAGTTTGATGACGTCCAGAAACGGTTGCGCAGGCGACTAGTCTGTACCCAACAAATAACAAATTGCATACTCGTACGACTAAAAATTTAAATGTCTCCTCGATCGGGCCAGTACTAACCTCGACATTGAAAAGTTCCGATGAAATTGGTGCAGGTCTCACTTGCTTTGCACTTAGCAGGCGATAACTTGCACTCGTCGATATCTAGTAACAAAAAATACCATCGACGCCTTACTTATTTATACCATGGGGTAAGAGGGACGTCGTTACCGCAGTTGTATCCATTTTGCTTAGTTCTGACAATTACTTACTGTGAAACTTAAGCAAAGAAATAACCTAAATGACTCGACCATTACATGAACGGCTTCACGACAACAAAGTGTGTCAGTCTGGCCACATGTAAAGCAAACCAAAAGACTCTTAGATTCTGGATTCCAAGCTGTGGTTTCCAGATACTAGATACTGTTTTTCGGATTGTTGGCAATGGAATTTAGATTCCGGATTCCTTAAGCTAAACTACGTTTCCAAAGTCCAGGATTCCGGATTCTACACGCAAAAATGCACTGTGTTATTTTTAAATACCTTTTTCCACTGTTTCAGCAATAAAGTTTACATTATATTCAGTTTGTTGCCAAACTACTCAAAATTGGCTAAACTGCGAGACAAAGCTACACTTATACTGCCCTAGCTTAAAATCATTTCTTCCTCTTTAAACTTGAGCCATAAAGCAGCGAAAAAGCGGGGGAAGAAGCCTCTGGACTAGCGTTGGTTGAAACACTCCGAAAAGAGATAAAATTTAAATAGCAAAATTATTTCTTTCTTTAGCTTACCTTGGCAGGGCTGACGGGGATTGTTACGGTCACAAATAAATCCTGCACCGCACTGGATTCTGGTACAAATATCCAATCTCTTAGCTGAAAGGACAAAGGAAGGGAGACAAAAAATTTCAAACGATATTTCCGAACACTCAAATGCGGGAACTAGTTAGGAAACTGTTGAGTGCCGAGTTACACCGAATAACCGAGGATTGCAAGAAATTCTTTTTTAACAGTGAATTGTGCGAGCAGTCACGAACAATAAGTACGCCAACTGAGGAAGATTAAACCAGGTTTACAAGTTTGAGCGAAAAAAATATTAGGCCTCTCGCGGAGCTGCACAGTTCGGCAACCCGGTTCCACAGGGTTAGCGCCTTCACAGGCGTTCCTCTGGATTTTCTTTGGATCTTACTAATAAATTTAACAATGAATTCATAATGACGTCATTTTGTCAATAAGATTTAACCTAGATTTGTAATTTTGGTAGCCCAATCATGAGCGGTTTTGGAACCCTTACGAAATGAGACACTATCTTTTTTCTATCTTAAAGCTAGTTAGTGAAACTATATAAAAGCTATCTCGTTTCTAGTTTATCCCTATCTTCATGCCCCGTATAGCTACTATTAACTAATTACTATCTTAAGCAATTCTTAATCATAACTAATCTCTAGTTATTTGGAACCATGCAGATAGGCTATCTTAATAATATCTTACAAATGAAATTTCCTGGTTGCTTAAATAGTTAGCTTTTAGATATACATAAGATAGAGTAAAACTAGCTATTCATCGGCTAAGAAGTTAGTTTTCAGACAGGGTTTTGCTGATAATTACATCATTGACATAGTTAAAAACT